AGGTAAGAATCTATTTTTTCCCAAATAGCTAATTGTCCCAACAGAATGTAATGAACTTATCTTAGGATTTTAAACAGTTGCTTCATAATAAGCCAACTTCATTTATATGTATTTGAGTTTATTTCTGGACTCTACTCTGTGCCATGTATTTACTTAGTGATAATAAGCTCCAAGAATCTTTATTATCATTACTTTAAAGAACACTTCATATTCGATAAAGTTTGTCTCATCTACTTATTTTGCTTTTACATTTTTTTCTTGACTTCTTATTTTTCCACATGATAGCTATAATCCGATTGGCTAGTCTGAAAAAATAACCTTGAAATTTTTAAATAATTAATTTTTTTTCAAATTAAACTCCTCAGTTTCCAGGAGTTGAATTGACCACTCTCTCCAAATTCCTGACTAGATGTCATCATTTTACCGTGCAATACTTATTTTCTCCCATTTATCCCAAGTCTAGTCTTTCCTAATGTGATTCTAGAGAAACTGATGCTTTTATTTTGTAAAATTTGTGGTTGAAGTGGGTATATTATAAACTTTGCAAATATGCTGTTGGGTCACAGCTCTGATACTGGTTTTCACCTTTTCCAGAGATGCAGCCCTGGGATTTTATTAGCCTTCCATGGTTCTAAGTCCATGTAGATTATTGTGTTTAACTGTCATGTGGTGCTTTCCTCTTTAGTCCCCTAGTGCTGGACACTCAGGCTGCTTCCATCCTGTCCCTGCAGCGAACATCTTTGTATGTGACTCTTCATCCACTTGTCTGAAGACCTCTCTGAAACCTATACTTGGGAGCCAGTTGGAAGGGTTGTAAACACATACCATTTTTCCTTGACCACATACTGGCAGTTGCCCTCCAGAATGGCAGCCCCTGCCCATATCCCCACAATCAGTGCATGAGATCTGCCAACCCCTCCACACACCTCAGCCAATCCTCAGCACTCCTCACATTGTTGATTCCTACCTCAAACAGATATGAAGTAACATCTCATTGTTAATACCTTCCATTTTTCTGATAACCAGTGACTCTGTGCACCTCTTCTTAAATCTCTTGTGGTTGATCTCTGGGAATTCCTAGATTATATCTTTTTGTTTATTTTTTTTCTGGGTCACCTGTCATTTTGTTTGTTGATTTGCAGGAACTCCTTGTATATTCAAGATATTGTTCTAGATCTACATATATCTCTGAACCTCTCATCAGAATGTGAATTTTGTCCATGGTATCTTTTATTATATAGTAATTCTTCATTTTTGTTTGTATTTATCCTTTTTAATTTTGGTTTTATGGTTTGTATTTTTGAGATTTTAAGAATTCCTTATTGCTAGGTCACAAAAATGTCTGTTATCTTCTTTGTAGTTTTTTTTTTCTTTACTCAGGCTGGGAAGGGGGTGGACTGATGGGGAGAGTTTGTACATGGGTACAAAGTTACAGTTATGGGGGAGGAATAGTTCTGATGTTCTGCACAATAGTGTATTATACATTTCAAAATAGCTGAAAGAGAGAATTTTGACAAAGATATGACAAATGTTGGAAATGATGGATATGCTATTAAATTTACAGTTTTATCTTTTAGTTATGGGGGGAGGCTCCACCCTGCATGTGGAGTAGAGGAGGATTTAGTTCTTTTTGTTTCCATATTG